TAAAGAAGTAGCAGAGAGTTCTACATCCTGATCCATAGGCAGAGAAAGAGACTTGGCCTGGCATGGTCTTTTGAAACGTCAAAGCCCACTCCCAATGACACACTACTTCCAACAAGGCCACTCCTCCCAATCCTTCTAATCCTTTCAAATAGTGCCACTTCCTGGTGACTAAACATTCAGACAGGTGAGCCTATGGGGCCCCTTCTTATTCAAACCACCACAGGCATTACATTTTTATATTTGTTTGGGGGGGGGTGCACACAAACCACAGCATGGGGAGGTCAGAGGATAACTTGTGGAGTCAGTTCTCTTCTTCCACCACACGGCTTCCAGGGATAGAACTCAGGTCACCAGGGGTGGTGGCAAGCTCCTTTACCCACGAAGCCGTCTTGCTGGCCTAAATGGTACTATATATTTGATCTCAAAATTCTAATTCAATGCTGGTATTTAGGAAAGTGACCAACTTCTATGTTAATTTTGTATCTTGCTATGATTTCTTAGTTGCTGGAGGCATCCTGGCTTCCTTTTTTTTCTCTCTCTTTCGATTTTCAAATTCTACTTTTTTATTTTTATGTGCACAAGTGTTTTTGCCTGAATGCAAGTCTATGCATCATGTTTGTGTCTGTGCCCTCAGAGCCCAGAAGGTGGCACTACTAAGAATCAACCCCCAGTTCTCTAGAAGTACAGTTAACCACTGAGACAACTTGGCAGCCACATCTTCCTTTCTTTCTCTCTTTCTTTCCTTCCTTTCTTTCTTTCTGACTTTCTATAAACAGAATACTGTCACCTGCAAATACAGGGTTTTATTTCTTCCCTCCTAATAAGTAAATATTTGATATATATAGTCCAGGCTGGCCTTGAACTCATAGAGATCAGCTTGCCTCTGCCTCCCGAGTGCTGGGATTACCTGGGAAGTTCTGGTATACTTAAAAAGGGTCCCTTTCCCCTCCTCCTATCAAAAGGACACTATCCCCCAATATTTATTGTAACAACCTAGTCAAATCCCCAGAGGTGAAACTCACAGCTGTGTGGAGCCTTCTACCGCATGAACTCTCCCAGCAGCTTCTGGCTGTCAGATTATCCACACTTACAGCTCAGGTTTTCCTACCCTGGCACCAGTTCCCACGGTATATGCTCCTGCACAGTTCTCTATGCAGCCATCTGCCTCCATTCTAGAGGTGATGATGTGGCCTCTGATACTAGTTCTCTATGGGTTTAAGGAGAACTGTTGGTTGTTCATTTGTTCAGGCTTTACTTGTCAGGAGAGAATGGAGACTTCTAAGAGCTTTCCATGCAGTTTTCCTCTGAGTCAGGGTCTTGCTATGTAGCAGAGGCTAGTCTGGAACTCATGAGTGGTCTTTCTGCCTGCCTCCTGAGTGCTAGAATTACAGGCATTTTATATATATTATAATTCTACACAGGACTTGGGTTGGTAGGGTGTTTAACTGACATGCAGAGCCCTGGGTTTGATCTCCAGCACCACATAAACCAGACAGAGTGGCATATGCCAGTAATCCCAGCACTCAGGAGGTAGAGGCAAGGGGCTCAGAAATGGAAGGTCATCTTCAGCTACATAGTGAGTTTGAGGCCAGCCTGGGCTACATGAGATACTGTCTTAAAAAGAAAAAAACCTTAAATAAATAAATTCTATACCAGAATTAATAATTCATAGGGCCACTGAAGTGCTCTCCTAGCATGTGAGAGGCACTGAATCTAATCCCTAGTACTGAAAAAAATATATAGCACTATATTACAGTAATCTGTATTTATCTATAACTTTGAACTCACCAGTGATATTTATGTTTTATGTTTTTTTTTTCCATTCAGTGCTGGCTACTGGACCTAGGGCTTTGGGGCACCATGAAGCTAAGTCCCCAACCCCTTTCCTATGCTGTGTTGTTGTAAGTCTGAACTTGAGTATCCCTGCTTGAACTCAAGAACTTCCTTCACCTTTCTTTTCTTTTTTAAGTTTTTCGAGACAGGTTTTCTCTGTGTAATAGTCCTGGCTGTCCTGGAACTCACTCTGTAGACCAGGCTGGCCTCGAACTCACAAATATCCCCTGCCTCTGCCTCCCAAGTGCTGGGACTAAAGGCCTGCGCCACCACCGCCCGGCTCTTTTCTTTTGTTTTTGTTTTGTTTTTGAGACAGAGTTTCCTTATGTAGCCCCTGCTGGCCTTGACCTCACAGAGATCCACCTGCTTGTGCCTCCAGAGTGCTGGATTTAAAGGTGTGTGCAACCATGCCCTGTTGTTTTTGTTTAAGACAGAGTGTCACTCTGTAGCCCAAGCTGGCCTTTACTGATGCCTACAGAGTGCCATCAAAGCAGGAAGCATTTCTCATACATCAGGTCTAGTAACGAACTCCCGCAGCTTTTATCGTGGAAAGTCTTCCTCCCTCCTCCACTTTTTGAAGGACACTTTGGACGGATGAGGTATTTTGTTTGGCTGTATTTTTTTTCTTTTTCCTGTCAGCATTTTGAGTGTGCCACATTATTGTCTTCTTGCCGGTCACATTTCTGCTAAGAAATTTCGTCATAATATTTTGGGAGCTCCCTTGTGTGTAATAGTTTCTTTTTCTCTCAGTTTTCCTTATGATGTTTGGACTGTAATAATTTCTCTGCATGGGTGTCGGATGTGCACAGCAAAGCACTTTACTCATTGCCATCCCTCTGGCCCACGCAGATCCTTTTGCTTGCTCAGGTCTGTTATCGAAACTCTCTAGAGCTGTGGTTCTCAGCCTTCCTGATGCTGTGACCCTTTAATACAGTTCCTCATGCTGTGGCAACCCCCAGCCATAGAATTATTTCGTGGCTGCTTCATAACTACAAATTTGCTACTGTTATGAATCGTAATATAAATATCTGATATAAAATCCCTGTGAAAGGGTCGTTTGACCCCTAAAGGGTTCACAACCCACAGGCTGAGAACCACTGCTCTAGTGTATTTTTCAATTATTATAATTTTCCATTTCAGAATTTTTAGCTCCTTAGGCTCCTCTCTGCGGATACCTTCAGGTTCTTCCTGGGTCATTTTTTCTGACTTTTAGTGAATTGCATTCATACTGAGGAACACCTTCAGTAATCAGCCCAGCTACATTCTGGGGTGTGTGGATCTTCCAATGCTTTGGAGGGAGATAGGGTCCCTCTACATAGCACTGGCTGTTCTGGAACTCGCCCTGTAGACCAGGCTAGCCTCAGACTCAAAGATCCACTTGCCTCTGCCCGGTAAGTGCTTGAATTAAAGGTATGTGGCACCACATTTGGCTGGAGATGTCTTTTCTCATTGGAGGTGTTAGTTCATAATCTCTTACGCCCCCTGGTGTCGACTTCAGTCCTGCAGGCACTCTGGCACTACAGCAGCATGCTTCTGTTTGTGTTCAGTGGCCAATAGGCATTCAAATTACGCCAAATTACATGACTAATGTTTTTGGTTTTTTGTTTCTTGAGACAGGGTCTCACTATTATCTCTGGTTGTCCTGGAACTCTATATGTAGATCGGGCTGGTCTTGAACCCATAGAGATCTACCTGCTTCTGCCTCTTACATCCTGAGATTAAAGTTGTGCATATGCTGGGCTGCATGTCTTGAATTAGGGTAAACCTGGTCACACAGTTCAAGAAGAGAAGTGGGAAGGATGAGAGGAGGGAAGGAGGAGAGGAGGGGAGGGAAGGGAAATGAAACACAAGGGCTTTGCAAACTGTGTAAAGTGCTCTATAAATGCAAGGGAACCATTTGAGAAGTCTGCTACAGTTTAAATTATTAAATTACATTTACTTAGTGTGTGTGTGTGTGTGTGTGTGTGTGTGTGTGTGTGTGTGTGTGTGTGTGTATACACGTGTGGTGAGAATGAGGTCAGAGGGAAACTTACAGGAATCAGCTTTCTCCTTCAACTTGTGGATCCTGGGGGCCAAACTCAAGTCATCAAGTTTGGGAGCAAGCACCTGATTGACTCAGAGCCATCTTTCCAGCCCGTCTTCTATAGTTTTAATCAAATTTATAAGCACCAGGCAGTAAATTCAGTTCGTGGTCATGACATTTATGGCCTCCATTACCTTGGACAAGCCACAGTCTCTGGCAGCCTGTTTCCATTTTGTGAAATATGGATACATTTTTACATCTCAGGGTGTCTTCATATGAGTGTGAAGTTCCCCGTATATCCCAGTGAGGCTGAGTGGCAGGATCCCCATCTGCTAGATTATGTCATAGGCCATACCAATGCCAACTCTGGTACCGGAATCACATTCTGGTAACTCAGCACAACTGAAGAGCATGCCTTATCCCAGAAGGCAGGACCCCAGATTAACAGAAAAGACAGGAAGGGGTCCTTGTATTGGATAAAGGAGAGCTGGGTGAACACTAAACTTCCACATGAGAAACTGCCATGTGAGGCCAGGCAAACTTACTATCCGAGACCCAGGGACAAATCTACTGCTATTTTTGGCACATCATCATCCTGGGTTTTAAGAATTTTCATATTACCCCATTCCCAATTTTCTTAGCCACCGTCATTTTTCCTAGCCACAGAAGTGCTCAATCAACAATCTAAAGTTTGAAAGATCCTCATCTAGACACTGACTTCTGAGGGCGAAGAGGTCAAGGTTGTATCAAGAGGCTACACTAGCACCCACCTCTAGGCCAGCCTCCTTCGGAGGCCAGCAATGCACACGTGAAAAGCACACGGAATAGCTGCAGAGGTCAGCGTCTACACTGGTCCCACCACACACCCGCTGGGTGACCTTCCTTTCGATTGTTTCATCTCCTGCCCTTGAGGATTTCTGTGGCAACCAAATGAGATAAAGAATGGCATGTATAACCAACAGCCTAGAGTGGATGTTCAATGACGCATCTCCTTCCCCTCCTCTCTGAAAGCTCCAGAAGCGTGGCCTGCTGTCCTTTCCATCTCAGAAGAGCCACCATCTGTCTTAGAACTCAACTCCTTTGCAGAGGCCACCCTGGAACAATCTCCCCAGCTCCTCACGCCTCCAAACAAGCACACAGGTCCTTCTCATTGAAGTGTTTTACTGGTAATCACTGAGGACAGATGCAAGGTGGGGTGAGGAAGGTAGGTAACAAACACAGGGAGTGTGAGGGTCCCTGGATTGTGGATCCCTGAGGCTTCCTTCTCATTCTTACTGAAGGACCACAAGCCTCTTCTCAGACAGAAGAGGCCCCTTCAACAGGAGAGCCACGCCTCCCGGCCTAGGGCTCTAGAAGTTGACATGGGATGAGGCACAGCAAGGGAGGAACTCACAGGCCACTGCAGTGGGTCTGAAGCTAGCTGGCTCTAGAGGCCCTGCAGACAGTGATGCCGTCTCTGGCACTTTCCACAAAGCCAGGGGACTGATGTCCCAATGATGAGAGCATGTCCTGAGCCTGTCCCACTTCGTCCACCCCTGAGAAAGTAAAGTGACGACTGGGCACTCTGATTTTTCAAGGCAAGAAACTGCCTGGGAGGAGGCAGGATTTCCTGATTGCAAAGGCAACAAGGGACCATTCTACAAAGTGAAGGGCTTGCAGTCCAGGTGCCCCAGCAGGTGCTAACGGCCTCCTTCTCCTATCAAGGTGGCCTACATGCTCTCCCTCACTCTTTACAGGGCTCCCCTTCAGCTAGACTCTTTCTCATCCTGCTCGCCCAAGTGTGTTTTCTGGTGTCGGATGAGGTTCGAGCTTCGGGAGAAGTGTTTCCCACACTGAGTGCACCGGTACGGCTTCTCCCCCCTGTGTGTTCTCTGGTGTGCTCCGAAGTTGGAGATGTCACTGAAAGTCCGCCCACACTCAGTACACTCATAAGGCCTCTCACCGGTGTGGGTCCGGTGGTGCACCCCAAAGCTGGAGCTGTTGCTGAAGCTCTTCCCACACTCACAGCAGATGTAAGGTGCTGGCTCCAGGTGGGTTCGGTGATGGACAGCCAGCGTGGCACTCTGACTGAAGCTCTTGCCACAAATGTCACAGCGGTATGGCCGCTGGCCCAGGTGATCTTGCTGGTGTGTAGTGAGGTCTGAGCGCCGCCGAAAACTCTCCTGACACTTGGCACATTGGTAGTGCTTCTCTTCCAGGTGGATCCTCTCGTGACGGATGCGGTTGGAGCTTCGGGAGAAGCTCTTGCCACACTCGGAACACTTGTATGGCTTCTCACCAGTGTGGATCCGCTGGTGTGTTCTCAGGTTGGAGGTATTGTTGAAGGTTTTGCCACACTGCACACATATAAAAGGCTTCTCGTCCGCCTCTGGGCCTTTAAAAGCAATGGGGTTCCTGGGGCCTCCAGCTCGGGCAGTGACTTTCTGCCATGGCGTTTTGGGGTGTGTTCCTTGAAGCCTCTTGGACAGGCTCGCCTGCCCATGTTCCTCCCCAGATGTGATCTGGAAATCCTCTGAGCCGTCCACTCTCCAAGGCTTCCCCCCTTCCCCTTCCTCAGGCAGGTGTGCTTCTGGACTCTGCTCCTTCTCACTGCCCATCTCTGAGCCCTGAGAATGAATACAAACATTCAATACCTTTATTCCTTGTACTAGCCATCAGACCACAGAGAATCTTGCATTCTGGTTGAAGCAATGTATAACTCCCCAGAATAACCCCAACTAACTGGAATACTTGTAGAAAGCCTTATTTACTTCTTAACTTTCAAGGGACAAACTCTCACAGATATTTAAGGCTACCTACCACTAACGGATGTATTCTGTGCAGACTGAATGTCATTCTTCTTAATACCATTAAACAATGGCACTCTATAATTTATGTGTAAGTAAAGGTGCTTCCATTTAGAGATGAATTCAATTTCTTCCTGTCAAATAGCCATCTATTCACTGATTCTGAAATGAACATAAATGACTAGAAGTAGTTATTTACAAGGCCCAACTCTGAATAGTCTTACTGCTCTGCCAGCCCATTCCTCTCTATACCTTACCATAATCTACCAACTGGCTAACAAGACCTACTACAGCACTTGAGCTGTCTGTCATGATAGATCAGTGCCAACTTCTGCACATAAACATCTCACAGACTCATACACACACAGCTACATTCTTATATGACATACAGCTATACTCACACCAAACACAGATATCAGCTATACATACTACGTACACATTCATATCACACATACAACCAACATACGGACATATACAGACATATACAGGCCACGCAGACCACATACACATCCTTATCTGATACAGCCACATAAAATATACATCCCACAGTGAACTAAAGAAGGCCAGAAGTATCTCCAGAGTGCTTGTCATGCTTTTTCATGTCTCCACTCACCCACAATTCCTTAGAAATCTGCTGACTTGTGCCCACTTTGTCCTTATGACAGGATGTTATACTTATTATTGTAGTGACTTTCTACAGCACCAGGCTGGGTGCTCTGTTGTTTTTTTGGATGAGAAAGTTAATGGATGAGAACTTTAATCTCTACTCCTGTTGACTCTACCTAGGACTTTAGGATCTATATACAAGGAGCTATGTGGCCTCCACTAATTTCTTTTCTTTTCTTTTTTTTTAAACAGGTTTCTCTATGTATGGCTGTCTGGAACTCTATGTAGCCCAGGCTAGCCTTGAATTCACAGAGATCCACCTTCCTCTGCCTTCTGAGTGCTAGATTTAAAAGCATGCACCACCATGCCCAACTGTACACTCTCTTTTAAAATTGCTAAGATCATATTTTACCAAGTTTCTATCCAAGGCTGAATGCTAGGTAAAAATAAGAGTAATTAAGACTGCCAGGCATAGTGGCATATGCCTTTAATCCCACCACTTGGGAGGCAGAGGCAGGCAGATCTCTGTACATTCAAGGACTGCCTGGTTTACATAGTGAGTTCCACAACAGTCAGAACTACATAGTAAGACTCTGTCTCAATAAACATATAAACAAACAAATAAATAAATGGGATGCATTGGGGACTGGAACGTTGGCTCAGTGGTTAAGAGCACTTGCTGCTCTTGCAAGAGGACCCAGATTCAGTTCCCAGTACTCATATCAGGTCACTCACAACTGCTTATAACTCCAACTCCAGGGGATCTAATGCCCTCTTCTGGTCTCCACAGGCACCTGCACACATGTGGTGCACATACATATATAGACTCAGGTGCATACGTACATATACTTTTTAAAACTGAGGTGGAAAAATGACTCAGTAGGTAAGGTACTGGTGACCAAGCCTGAATCTCAGCTGGATCCCCAGGACCTGCATGAAAAGAGGCAAGAACAAACTTCTGCAAGTGGTCCTCTGAACCCCAATGCACATCGTGGCAAGTACACACACACACACAGCGTAAATACATGGCATTTTTCTTTTTAAATAGTAAAATGATTTATGGTTGGACTATGGGACCAATACGACTGATTCGCTCTGGTTAAAAGCACTTGCCACAGAAGCCTGACAAACTGAGTTCAATGCTGGAACCCACAGTAAAGAGAACTGGTCCTGAACGTTATCCTCTGACTTCCACATACAAGCTATGGTGCTTGTGTGTGTCCCTCCCACTGCCACCCCCAAAAAATAATAAATTAAATTTTAAAAAAGATTTAAGATTATGATTACCACCCTCATAGTTATGACACAATAGAATGAAACAGATCATGAAGACGATATGGAACATTAAGTTCCAGGGAAGAGTCAGTGCCTCAGCCACATCTGTACCCATTCTTCATGGCCCAGCATTGCGCATGACACACGGCACAGGAGTCAATAATAGTTAATGTTTTCTAAAGGTCCTACAAAACATTAGACCTACAGCTGAGTACTCCATATGCATCATCTCAATTCATTTGTACAACTATTCTTTCTTTTTTCTTTATTTTCTTTCATATTTTTTTTCAGAGGCAGGGTCTCACTATGTAGCTCTGGCTATCCTGGATCTCACTATGTAGACTAGGCCAGCCTCTGCCTCCTGAGTGTTGGGATTAAAGGCATGTGCCACTATGTTTGGCTTAACTATTCATTTTTCATACTTATTTTAGAAATGATGAAACTGAAACTCAGAGAAATTACATCACTTGCCCAAGAGCACACAGTGATTAAAAGGCTATACTTGGCCAAAACTGAAGCCTATACTCATCACTCCAAAGCTGAAGTTTACACTAATACTGGAGGGAGAAAAGGAAGAAGAGAAAAGATACTACAGCAGTTAGGACCACACAGAGATATTTCTCTGAAGAGGGCAGGAAAGCAGCTTCATGGAAGAGGTGGTATTCGAACTATGACTTGCAAGATGAATGGATGAGCAAGACCAGGGCTGGCAGGAACAGGGAGGGAGTCCATTACTGACTGAAAAGGCAATGCAGCTAAAATACAAGGTCATATTCACATTGCACTTCAAAGATCTGGGGGAGAAGGGACCTGGTGCATATTGAGTTTTCTTCCTCGGAGCTCAGCAGCACAGTCTGGAGCAAGTGTGCACAGGAGAGGCCAGTTCTAAGAACAAGCCAAGAAGACGGGGCTTGGTGGTGGTCACAAATGATGAAGGATAAGAGCCTGGATTAGAGGGGAGACGCCAACCTATGGTCTGAAAGATTAAAGTTCCAGATCTGGGTACAAGTCAAGGGCACCGCGGGTAGCTTGGAAGGACCAGGGGCAAGGTGTGGAGAACAAGGAGCTACCTAGCGGGTCAGAGATGGAACATCAAAGGAACCAGAGTCAGAAGTGGTCAGGGAGAGGGGACAAAGGCTGCACAAGTGTCCCAAGAGGCTGAGTGGAGAGGGCAGGGGAAAGTTGGAGGAGTCAGGGTACAGCGTCCTGGAGGGCAGGAGCTGGGTTCAGAGACGTCGATGGGCTTGGGGCTGGAGGTGAAGAGCACAAGGGGCGACCGTAGAGGCACGGTGTATGGGAGGGGCGTGGAGCGGTCCAAGGCCAACAGTAAGGGCCGGAGGGTAGCAAGGCTGGGCCGTCCGAAGACAGGATCACCGCGGAGGAACACACAGCGCCAGTGGCCTTTGGAACCCGCGGAGCAAAACAGCAGCTTCCAAGCCCTTTGCGAGAGCGAAGGGGCCGCGCTCCAAGCGCCCCGCGCGTCGCGTCCGCCTCCCCCCCCCACGTCACCTCAGCACAACCGCGACCCACCTCACTCCCGCAGCTCGGTCAGGGACAGCGCCGCCTCAGTGGGCGGGGAAAGGAGCCGGAGCCGGAACCCACAGAGGACCCGCCTCTGCAGCGTCGGGATTGGATTCTGGGAACATCCTTCCTCTCTATGACCAATGAACATTGGTCTAGGGCGCGGCATGCTGGGAGTTGTAGTCCTGAGGTGGTTTGCGTCGCTGAAAACATTTGCCCACTTCAGAACACAGCTGTGAAGCTGTCTTTGCTTCTAAGGTCATCAGGTTTCTTTTCTGTTTTACTTTTGAAATGGTGGCCCTCGATAGAAGCCTCGCACTTCATTTAAGGTTTATAGTTTAAAATTAAAAGAGCATGTACCTGGAAAGAAGTTTAAAGATAAGTATTCTGATGTTTTTGTCCAAAAAGCTAAGTGTCCACGTCCAAGGACTGACCTTCAGCCAGGTCGGCCAGTGGCCCAACACAGGGATTTTCTGTATCCTACATGATCCTCTGTTAACCCAACACTCTCATCAATCTGGATACAATAGACCAGTAAAGTATTCAGAGCTGGATTCCTTCACAATGAAGACAACATACCAAGCAATAAATACTAAAAATTGTAATTTAATAACTGTACAAAGACAAACAAAATATTCCTTTTGGGCCATGTAATTGCAATTTTTACATGCCACCTTGACTAGGTCACAAAGTTCCCAGATGCTTCATCAGACATTATACTTGTTGTCTCTATGAGGGTAGTTTGTACAAGATTAACATTTAATCAGTAGCTTGAGTAAAGCAGTCACCCTCTTTAATTCCAGTAGGAGACATCCAATCAATGGAAGATCTCAGAACAGTTTTGTGGCCTGTCAGGCTTTGGACAGGACATCAGCTCTTTCCCTGCCTTGGACTGGAACTAAAACATTGGCTCTTTTTAGGTCTCCAACCTGCCAACTTCAGTCTCATATTTATTCATTTTCTGCCCCCACCCCCACTACACACACACATACACATACACACACACACACACACACACACACACACACACACACACACACACACACACACACACTCATACCCTGTTGATTCTGTTTCTCTATGGAATCTTGAATAATACAGGCACTATTGGAAAGAACTTGTAACAGATCTAGTTCCAGAAGGGTCCAGCTGCCTTCCCACCTGCCAATTGATGGGAAGTTCCACAAATAGTCTGAATCACATGCACGGGTATGACTTGGAAGTGACTTGCCTTCTTTTTCTAATCCACATCCAAAAAAAAAAAAAGTATGTGTGATTATGTGTGTGTGTTGATTTATCATTATATGCAGAGAGTTGAAGGCCAGAAAAGGAAGTCTCATCCTCTGGAGCTGGAGTTCTAGGTGGTTGTGAACTACCTAAAATGGGTGCTAGAAACCAAACTCAAGTCCTCTGCTAGAGCAATAAGCTCTTAATCGACCAGCCATCTTTCCAGCTCTGAATTCATTATTTTATTGTCTCACTATGTAGACCAAGCTGGTCTCAAACTTAAAGAGATCCACCTGCTGGGATTAAAGATGTGCGCCACCATACCCAGCAATAAGATATCTTGAATAGATAACTTTCTTGAAAGCAGCAATTTCTGACCCAGAGGCTCTTGTCAAGTCTTGAAGGACAACAGACTTGTTGGTATACTGAGCTGAGTGGCTCAAACTGCCACTTTTTCTCACTGGGCCTCTCTGAACTTCATGAGGTGTTCAGAGGGCCAGAGCCACAGACTGCAAAGTGACTCATGTGCTCAAGGCCGCACAGCTGGCTGCTTTGTTTACAGCTGTGCCTACCAGCTCCTATGTTGAGGTTTTTTGGGGATTATGGTTCCTGGTCATCACGTAGGTCAATCAATTTTTGAAAACATGTACATTCTAGATGTCTCCATTTCAGATCAGCTGTTGAAAACATATACCCTGGATGTCTCCAAATTGTGATGTAAACAGCATGAAGAAAATAGAAAACTGTGGGGTACTGACACCTCTGTTTCACTCCTGAACAAAGAAGGAAGGATGTGTGATTCACAAGACATATACTTGTAAAAAGCTGGCTTTGGGAGTTAGAGGCCTGAACTTGGGGGTGGGGGAGGGCAAGAGAATAACAGGCTTTGATGGAAGACGACGTCGGGGTCTGGGGCTGTAGCTTCACAACTGAAAACCCACTGAGAAGGCTGACACTGTGAGAAGTTCCTCTCAGGGTTCCCTCAGGTACAGAACCTTTTCCCCTGAGCCTGCACTGAATGCTGCTCAGATCCAGCCAACATCTCCTACTAAACCTCTTCCGAGTGAGCTTTGTTCATCTCAAGAATCATCCACCAGGGTAATGGAAATGTCTAGTCTCTAGGGGAAAAAAGGCAGCGTTCAGAATTGAGCTCTGGGAGAAAGGTGGTACAAACAGAAACCACAGAAGGGTCTGGATTTGGATCAAAAAGATGAGGTACTGGAGAAACAGATGCTGGGCCAGGAGACAGAGTCCAGGGTGCCAGGCTAGAAGATGCTCATGTGAGTGGATCACAGGGCACAGCCCTACAAAGAAGGAGCCTTGAACCCCTGAAGGGCAGGGCTGAGGTTAGATGGCCAGGTATCGTTGAATGGGAGAAGCTCGGAACCTTGAGGAGATAGTAAGGATGGATTCACCTTCAGGGACACGTCTCCATTAGCTTGACTTTTTTCTTCTTGTTTGGTGACAATTGATGCCTCTGATTTCTGGAGTTCAGTACAAATGATTAGAGGGGCTGTGTTCCTCCCCTCATCATGAAGACAAGGTTCAAAGAAAGGGCGAAGCGGGCTGGAGAAACTGTGGGTGAATGTAAAGATGTGGGACTTGTCAGTCACGTTGTAGAAGGAGATAACGCCTGCTTCATAGTCCAAGAAAACCCCCACACACTTGGGGCACTCTTTCAGCCGGAAGTAGGTCTGCGGGGACGTGAGAGCTTCATACTCATTTCTACGGCTCTGTCGCACAAGCCAGTGGCCATTGGCAGGTGAGGCTGTGACCTTCCCTTTCCTGTTCACAGACTCACTACACACTCCAAGGATCCATTTGGTCTTCTCACCCACGTACACTTCCCAGTAGTGACAGCCAGTTGTGAAGCACTCAGAACCGAGGACGCTGACAACAAAATCAAACCTCTGCGGGTGGTCAGGGACAGGCCGCTTCTTGTCGCCAAGCCTCACACATCTCCGATCCTCAGACAGGATGAGTTTGGGATGTGCTGTGTCAGGGTCCAGGGTCACCACCACTGCAGAGTTAGAGGTGAGAAGAGAATTTCATGTTTTAAGGAATCTTCAGGGACATTTGGAGGGGGAAATCCTCTAGAGGTCTGCAATCTATCATTAATCTGTTTTAGTTTCTGGCTTTCCCCAACCACCTCCATACTGGAAACAGATTTCTAGCTTGCAGGCAGAAAGCTTGCCTAGTGTATCTCAAGCCCTAGGTTCCATCTCCAGCACTACATAAAACAGGTGGAGAAACACAGGAACAGTCCTGGGGAGTGGAAACTGGAGCATCAGTAGCTCGAGGTCATCCTTGGCCTCAGAGAGAATTTGAAACCAGCCAGCACTGCATTAGACAGCCTCAAAAAGCCAAAAACACACACACACAAAAATCTAGACTTGGATGTTAGACCCTGTTCTGGTTAGTTTTCTGTCAACCTAATAACAAGCTAGACTCTAGTGGTTCTCAATGTGTGGATCACGACCCCTTTGGGGGTCACATATCAGATAATCTTGTATATTAGATATTAACATTACAATTCATAGCAGTAGCAAAATTACAGTTATGAGGTAGCAATGAAATAATTTTGTGATTGGAGGGTCACCACAGCATGAAGACCTGTATTAGAGGGTCACACAGCACTAGGAAGGTTGAGAACCACTGGGTTAGAGTAATCTGGGAAGAGGGAAACTCAATTAAGAAAATGCCTCCCAGCGGGGTTGTGTGTGTGTGTGTGTGTGTGTGTAGGGGGTGGGGGGGTGGGGGGTAGTGGCGCACATTTTTAATCCCAGCACTGGGAAGGCAGAGGCAAGTGGATCTCGGTGAGTTCGAGGCCAGCCTGGTCTACAGAGAAAGTTCCAGGATGACCAGGGCTACACAGAGAAAACCTGTCTTGAAAAACAGAAAACAACAAAAAAACAAAACAAAATGCTTCCATCATACTGAACTGTAGGAAAATCTATTGGGTTCATTTTCTTGATTAATGATTGATGTAGCAGGACTCTGCCCATTGTGGGTGGTGTCACCCCTGGGCAGGTAGTCTTGAGTTGTATGAGAAAGCAGGTTGGACAAGCCATAGGGAGCAAGCCAGTAAGCAGCATTCCCCTATGGTCTGTCCTTTAGGCCGTGCTTCCCAGTTCCTGTGTTGGCTTTGCCTGATGAGTTCCTGTAAGCTGTAAGCCAAATAAACATACCCTTTCCTCCTGTCTTAGTTACTGTTGCTATGGCTGTGATGAACCCTTGACCAAAAGCAACTTGGGGAGGAAAGGGTTTATTTGGCTTACATATCTGGAGTCACAATCCTTTGAGGGAAGCCAAGGAGAAATCATAGATCTGATCCGACTGTGCTACACAGTGACAAACTACTACTAATAACACGGTAAATAAAACTACTACTGATGATACTGTAAATAATAAATTTACAGTCTGCATTCAAATGGACGGGATGAAACTTACGTGACAGAAGGACAGACTCTGGAACGGAAACCCGTGAGGTTGGTTTAACTTACCGAAATGCAGTCGGGCTCTTCTCCAGCCTGAAAGGCAAAGGCGGGGCTTGTTAACGCAGAGTAGAAATGGAGGCAGCCCAGAGGGCGGAGCCAAACCCAGGGCAAGAGCATCTCACCTGCGTTGGCAGCAGCTCTTTTCAACTCTGGGGAAGTGGAAACAGGGAGTGAGCTGTCTGTCACTGGACTTATAGGGCAGGAGGTAAGTTGGTATGGAAATTATAAAAACGTGGGAAACTTACTCAGTTCCTTCCGGAGTTTCTCTGAAGAATAAAAACAGTCGGACACATCAGAACAAGGGCATTGCAATGCTTCAGTCCCTCACACCCACATTCCTA